TTACAACTTTATCACCCTCAAATCAAAAAAATAAAAATTTTGAAAAATCGTTTTTTTCGAATTTTTTCCAAACGACTTGACCGATCTACACCAAAAACTAATCAGTTCTAAACCTTGAAGAAACACATCGTTTGCCGCAAACCGGGTCGAAATCGGTTGCTTTACTTGCTAGATATCGAAAACGAAAAATTTCGAAGAGCTCCAAAGCAGTGAAAAAAGCGAAATTTGAACGTTAGCGTATGAAATTAGAGGGAAGTTGCAGGGATGGCCCTTGAGGCCAACCGTTTTCCACATTTTTTCTATATCTCGCGGTGAATGAGCAAATCACGGCTGATTTTAAATTTTTTTATATAACCTAATTTTAAATCTCTAAAACTTCCCAGTATGGTTTTATACTTAGCTATACTTTCCAAATTTGTAGCATTTTGATAGAATACCAATACTGTACAAAATAATTTAGGAGACACAAAAATATGTATGCATGTACAATACATATGAGAATACAAAATTTTCTTGGAAAGCTAAGCGAATTCTGCGAGAGCTTTAAGGTGGCGAGTTGTGTATATTAGCCGGTCAACGAGGTTTACACTTTTGAAATTCATACAACCGTTTTTGGAGTTTCTTTCTTTGCAGTTTCTTCCGTACATGTGTAGGTACTTCATGCTGATAAATATACTTACGTAGTATTGAATGTGCGAGTATGGACTAAGAGCACAACGCTAGACTTGTGCTTGTTAAACAATAAGTCTTTCTTTTCTTGTAAGAAACCTAACTTTTTCCAAATCCAAAATTATTAAAGATATTTAAGCGCAAGTAAGTAAAAAACAAAAAAAACTTACATGAGTTTAACAAAAACAAATACTATGATATCGGTTCGTAATGATTATAGTTATATTTTCCATTGAGCAAATGTATCGTTTAGAAATGTCACACATTAAATATGCAAAAATAATATAAAGAATAACTGTTTCCCACTTACCATATACCCAAATGAAAACGTTCCACGTGACAACCACGTTTTTCTTAACTGTCAGATGTTCAAGCAAAATGTGTGCCTAGCTACTTTTACCAAAGATTTAGAAATATTTTGCAATTTATTTAAAATTTTGCAAACTTCTCAAGTGTTAAGAAACCGTTGGACTATAATATGAGATACAACATACATATGTAGATATGTACAGCCAACGCCTCTGCACAACAGCAACGTAAACTGTTGAGCCATTGGTATCTAAGTTATTGACTTAGTCAACTTAATTTCTTTCTTCATACCGCTTTCTGCAATGTGAGCAATTTGTATTGTAATGAGATCATAAAAATCAAGTCAAAGCTATTAAAATACACCAATTAGCACTAAAGCGTTTAGTGTTGATTTTTATAGCTCATATATATTACCACTAAAGTATACATTTAGGCGCCACAAAGCTAATCTTCGGTATAATTTATATCAATTTAGTTTAACTATTCGACGGCCTATTTATAGGCGCTTGGATAAATAATTAACACTTTTGTGGTTACAAGAAATTTAACTATGCTTCCCTTGGTATATATATTACAATATGTATGTGTAATATATTAATATGGTTCAAAAGCCTTTGTACGTGAAGTTTTGTGTAACGAGAATTGAAATTTGGCTAACATTTCTTCTTAATTTTTTTCTGAATTCTTGTTATAAATGAGATTAAAACGCCTTTATAGTAATTTTTCGGAAATGATTTCGCTTTTTTTTGCGACAAATAAAATGTTAAATTAACATTAGCTACAGCAGAACAAGTTTAATTGTTATCCTTGGACGGTGAGGTGGCTCTCTTTTTATACTCACGCAACTTGTTGCTACAGAGTATAATAGTTTTGTTCACCTAACGGTTGTTTGTAACACCTAAAACTAATCGAGTTAGATATAGGGTTATGTATATAATATATAAATGATCAGGATGAAGCGACGAGTTGAAATCCGGGTGACTGTCTGTCCGTCCGTCTGTGCAAGCTGTAACTTGAGTAAAAATTGAGATATCTTTATGAAACTTGGTACACATATTTCTTGGTACCGTAAGACGGTTGGTGTTGCAGATGGGCGTAATCGGAATACTGCCACGCCCACAAAACGCCATTGATCAAAAACAAATAAATTGCCATAACTAAGCTTCACAACAAGATACAAGACTCTTATTTGGTATATAGGATCACACTAGGGACGGGCATCTGCAGTTTAAAATTTTATTTAAAAGTGTTCCCGCCCCCTAATTAGTTTAATGTGTTAGGAGATACCACTGAAGCTATAATAAAAAAATTCACTGGGAACAAATGCTTTTAACATCTCTATCGACGGTGAGAAAATGGATGAAATCGGGTGAGAACCCCGCCCACTCCCCATATAACGGTACTGTTAAAAACTACTAAAAGCGCGATAAATCAAGCACTAAACACGCCAGAGACATTAAATGTTTATCTCTGGAATTGTATGAGATGACTTTATAGGAACCGTGTGCAAAATTAGTCAGTGGGTGCGGCACTGCCCACTTTTAGGTGAAAACCCATATATTGGGATAGCCTTAACCGATTTCAACCTGATTTTTTCACTTTTCAGTATGCATATCAAGCAACAATTATTATATCGGGGTAAAACTTTGCGTGAATAATACATTTAAAGTATGCCACATTGTGACCAACAATTGTCTAAATCGAACCAAAACTGTTCAAGCCCCTAGGTACTGAATATGTGGACCCCAGTGCCTATAGTTGATCTTCTACCGAAAATATCGGTCAATCCACAAAGAAATCTTAAACGAGTATACCATTTCATTTTGCGAGAGTATAAAATGTTCGGTTACTTCCGAACTTAGCCCTTCCTTACTTTTTTACTCTGTGTTTATATATTGAATTGAAATAAATTTTGAAAATATTCAATAATTTGGAGTCCACCACACTCTATACGTTTACGGTTTCAGCCTTTTCTTTTCGTAACATTTCGATTTCGATTCGTCAAGAGTTGTAAAACAAACGTTCAACACATGCGCAGCAATAATGCGTTAACATATCTTTGGTGGAGAAATTCTGCTTTCCTAGTTATAAAATTGTTTTCTATGAATAATTATAATTAATTTTGCCTAATTTTTAAATATAAAAAAAAACTTTTGGTGTTGATTTTTAAGAATAACTATCATTTGAGCCATGATATCGAAGAAAGCTCTTATATCACTTTAATGAGATGTCCGCATACCTTTTGTACGAATTCAACTCGATAATTTTTTGTTGCTTTTACATGTATATTTTTTTTGTAACAAGCGAACAGCTCACAAAGTAATCGAGCAAAGAAATGTCGAATTGAAGACAGCTTATATTACCTATCTCATAATTCAGTGGCTCATCTCTATATAGAAGAGGTTTTGGAACATGTTTAAGGGAAAGCGACTCTTGTTTTTGTTAGAAAATTTAATTACATGGCTTGGATTGAGAAACTGTGAGCAGATATATTAAAATTTTCGTGAAACATATTCATTTAGGGGTTATATCTACTTTCCCGGTAAAAAAACTTTCCCGAAACGGTTGGACCGATCGACTTGATAATTTCACATGACTTTCTTAAATTTTATCAGGTAATGATAGAAGGAATAATATTTCGTTAGTAATTTCGAAATTTATAGATTCTTACACAAAAAACCACCTTTTTTTTTGAGAGCCCTCAAGCTTCCCAGAAATCAAAGTTTTAACTATTTCTTCAGTTACTATTTGTTTTTATCTATTATATTTTTCTTGTTTTTTGAATTTCCAAACATTTTAGGCAGAAAACTCTTCCTCACCGCCAAACACCTTTCTTTCGAGGTCCTTCTGGATATCGGTTACGGAATCAAGGAATTTCAAAGTTTTCCCAAATTAATCATCGACTGTTAATATATATTAAATTCTGTAAACGTACATTTTTTAAATGTATTTATTAATAAAATGCCTCTTCAAAAAAATACCCAGAAAACCGCATTTTTTTTTAATTGCAAGTGGATATAACCCCATAAGCCGAGCTAGAATTTTACATTTTTAAATATAGTCTGAAGATCATCGCTTTGTTCACCAAAACAGGAAAGTTTCTTTTGCCAGTGGCGGTTTCGCCGATAACTTTTTGAGAACTCATGAGATGGCTTACCAATTGCTTGCCATGAACACAACAGAAACTATTTTAGTGGATCTTCTGTCTGATTAGATCGGATGTCTAATTACAATATTTAATGATTTGGCTAAATTTAGTTAATATTTCACAATTATTTGCTACTTCTGATACAAGAATTTCACATATAAAATATAATTTAATGTTACCGAAAATACATATTTAATTTACTCATTATTTGTCAGTCAACTTACTAACTTATGAACTTATTTATAACACTTTTTGCATTCAGCAACATCAGTGGCTGCAACATACTAAAAATTACATACAACATACTATAAACAAGCGAAAAACAAAACAAAAAGCATCAAACGAAATCCTAATGAACCGAATAAAAGCACTTTTTTAACGTAATCGCTGCAAGTTTTTTGTTGTCTGAAATATCAGGGGGACATATATACATAATTATATCTATGTGTACATTTGTATACCAGTTTGATATGTGCGTTTGGCGGTTGTCATTTTAATGATTGCCAATATGTACGTAAGCACCTTGCCACAGACTTGAGTTGCAGACATGGGCTGGGTTAAGTTGAAACAAAAGCGTCACTCACTGCTGTTGATTTACGGTTGTGAATTGTGACGCGCGAATTGGTTCAACTACTGCATTGCATTCTGTTACACACACACACACAACCACATGTATGGTATATACTCACCTAAGCATACGTTTGCATGTATTATACGTGTATAATGTCTATAAGTAAACAAAACTTTTTGTCGTGTTCATGCATAATATACCATACGTGCACATTGTTAAGTAGTATAAAAAGACTTTTCTGTACCAATTGACGAAATCATAATAGTCAGTTGCTTATAGGAATAAACTATGGCGTAAGTAAGTAGATAACATACAAATAACTGGTTCGTCAGGAAGCCTTAAACAAATCAGAGAAAGAATATATGGTTGCAAACTTGTCTGAACCTATAAAATAATTCTGTAAAGTTGTAACAAGTAAATTAAGGTATATATTTGTTAGAATCAGTATATTATTTATAGCATAATAACATTTGCATTTTCCAAAGTGTAGGTAATTATTGAAAACACATTGCTTTGTTATAGGTGACGTTTATTCTACACTTGCTCCAGTCATCCGCGTTGTGTATTATAGCTTGACATTTTTGATGGCAAATTGCCACTAGTATACGCACAGGAAGCGACCTCCAGGTATCTTGGATTAGCCGAATGAAATATTTTATTGACGTTAAATGCTTTCTTGATATTTTCCATTGAAGCCGAAACATTCTCTCTTGGATTGGCGTCTGGTTGTGGTGATGGTCAATAAAGTAACAATATGATGGTTTTATTTGCATTGAGTATAGAGTCTGCTCCTAAGTTTCGGATTATTGTCTTTTTGCAGTATCCAATCATAATTATTTTTTTCGCAAAGCATTTCAGTTGCCTTCAGTAAACTCTTTTTATTAAGCACTTGAAACGCCCAAATCCATGAGCAGAAACGCATCGTAAGCAGAACGCAACGTAAATTGCATCTTTCGGGTGAGCTTAACCCTTCTTTGAATAAATGTTTGTCCTTTTCTTAGCCAAAACACGCGTCAAGGGGTTAAACAATATCATAGTTGACTTATCTGTACATATTACATTGCTTCAATCACAGTTGATGTTTCCCTGCGCCCAACGCAACATATTTTCATTGTATGTTTCTGAAAGTAAGGATTTAGTTGCAGTGCTGCTGCGCTTGATGTCAGACCTCTGAAGTCCAAATATACATTTAATCAATTCCGTCCAAAGGGAGTTCAGACGGCATTTTGGTGGAACACCTCCGCGTAGAGGTTGGATAACATGTTTGGCGAATCTAGAAGTATCGTAAGAAGACCGTACCATCGAGATCCGTATGTTCGTGTTCAAGAAAAAATCGCGGCTGTTGCATCAACAATTCAATCAAATCCGAGAGTTTCGACTTACAACTTATCGGCGCAACTTGGAGTTAGTAGACGGTCATTAAAACGGATAATTCATGATGACTTAAACCTGTTTCCGTACAAAGTTCAAATAATAAGCCGGTTAAACCCTCAAAACTTACCTATTCGCCTGGAAATTTGCCAAAAAATTACTGAAATGGCCGAAGAAGACAATAACTTGATTGACTGTTTATGTCTAATGAGGCCCAATTTGATCTAAACGGAAATGTAAGCAAGCAAAATTGCCGTATATGGAGTGAATCAAATTCGGAAATAGTCCCAGGACGGAACTTCACCCAGAAACCAGTCACATGCATTGATTGAAAAAAAAGTATTACGGTTTTTTGTACCACGATTCGTGAGCCTCCCTGTATTTTGCAGTTTTCATACTCTCGCAACATGTTGCTACAGTGTAATAGTTTTGTTCACCTAACGAGTTATGTATATGTAACATAAAAAATTTGATCTGGGTAACGAGACGAGTTGATATCCGGGTGACTGTCTGCCTCTCCGTCTGTATGTGCAAACGATAATTTGATTAAAATTGAGATATTGGAACTTCCCACATATTTTACTTAGTACTCAAGACAGGTAGGTATTGCAGATGGGCGTATTAGGTCCCCTGCCACACCCACAAATTGCCATTAACTGAAAACCTATAAAGTGCCATAACTAAGGACTAAATAAAGATACATTGGCATAGGGGATCGCAGTAACATGAAACACCTGTTGGTCCCCGGCTCCTCCACCTAAATGATTTAATGTACATATCTTTCAAACCGATGAAGCCAACTTCCTGAGAAGAAGTATTTTTGGCAGTTTTTTACACGCTGCGAAAACAGGTAAAATCAGATAATAACCACGCCCACTCCTCATATAACGGTTATGTTGAAAACTACTCAAAGTGCGATAGCTCACAAAATAAATGCGCCACAAATAAAAATATGAATATCACTAAATATCACAAATAAGATGGGGGGCAGAGCTTTATAGGAGCAGGTCTAAATAAAAGGACAATAGGCGTTACACCGGCCATATTTAGGTGAAATCTTATATCTCAGGAACTACCCGACCAATTTCAACCAAATTTGACTTCGCCTACTTGATTCTTTGACTACCAGCACATCAATGAATATATCGGGATAAAACTTTCCGCAAGTAGTGCCATAAATTGTCGAAATCGGGCCATGACTTTTGAACAACCCAGATACTAAATATATGGACCCCGGTGCATTTGGCTGATCGAAAAAGCCTACCGAATTGTACGCGTCAGTGATTTCAATTGAAAATGTTTTAATTTACAAAAAATTAAAAACTGTTTTCGGCTATTTGATCGCATAAAGGAAAAACGATATTTTTTAACGCACTTTAAGCAATATTAAATTATGTTTACGAACACTTTGAAGTTTGTCAGGATGCAAGAGCTTTCTTTCTTTGCGGATCGCAAGAGCTTTCTGGAGAACTTCACGTTTATACCAAAGGTACCGTCGGAAAGTTTAGGGCTTTATTAGTATATGTATACTGAGGTCTGCATTTGAAATTGGTGATTTTGGCTTGGAAGGCGAAGAAAGTCTTAGACGTTAGAAACTGGAAGTTTTACTCGGTGAAGATTGTTGCCATATACAAAAAAGAGCTCGCGGAATATTTTTCAAACACTCGCGAAGCAATTTCAACATTCTTCATATTTCTAATTTTTCTTTAATAACGTTTTATAATTTTCCCATTTTTAATAGTTTTATAAATTGTTTGATAATGCTCTGTACTTTTTAATTTAATACAATTTCACTTTATTTTGTTATTTATTGCGATGTGACTTTATTGCAATTCTTATAATGTCTCAATATCATTCGACTTAACATTAAGTGACCTGCTCTATAAGCTCATAGTTGAGTTTATTTGTTGTTCTGCTGAGCTGTTGCTACGCAGATGTTGTTTGTCACTATAATGCTGGATCATCATGTCGATGTTGGTTGCAGTGCTGGCCAGTCAGCGAATGCCACGTACATACCGCACATATTGAGCACATTGGCAGAAGCTTGAGTGCAAGAATAAGCTCGGCTCAAGTTATAGGACTAGGAATTGTGTTGCACCTTTGGTACCTTAACTTAAAATATTTCTAGCATAGTTATGATTTTATATAACACATACTGCATAATATAAATCAGTTAGACCAATACAAGTTCATTTTTAGTATAGATCTTGAATATAATAAGGATATAGAAATATGTGGCTTAGTCTAGTATAACATCTTTGTATTTTTTGTTCGACGGGCGGTAGGGCTATATATCCATAGGAAAAGCTATTAGGTAAGTTGCTCATTTTACACCATCTTCTGAGAGTTGTGTACACAAATGGAAACATTTATTTTTTTTCTTTTGGAAAACTAAGCACGTTAAGTCGTACTCATAAATTATTTGGACAAGGTATTGCATAATCACAATAACAACACTTCGTCTGTACTTGCTATGCGTCAAAAATCAATCATACCTTTATAACTACAATGTGCAATTGTGTATGTCTGTACATGAATCTTTTAATTTATATATATATACATATATATATATATATATTGTGTATTGAAAGTGCAAGTGCGCGATTAAGCCTGATCGCCGTTAGTGTTTAATGAAACCGCTAGCACAAGATCAATATATTAACACAAACATCGAACAAGATAAAATACATATTTCAATATTTAGTAGATATTAGCGCAAATTCAAAAATCTTCCAGCAACAACAAGCTCAGCCGCAATCGAATATATTCACTCAACTTGAAGGAAACCCCCACTTCAGATATTCGGTTTAATAACTCTATTCGGCAGGTTTCCATAACACCGACGACCGTGTGTTGCTTAAAGCCAATTATCTCTGTTGGTGTTCTTTTTTAATTTTTCGCTGCCAAAATGTGCACTGATTTGCGAGAAAACAATTTTGCATTTCCTTTTCAGGTGCACACGCAGTAATTTGACGTCGAAAACATCGTAATTATGGGTGTTCAATTAATTAAAGCTGGCGGTAAATGCACAATTTGGCCAAGACCAATGGCTATCATTTACCTCCGCCAAGATTTGTTTGAATTTGGATTTGCGTTCGTTAACTGCAACACTCTTGGGACAGCGCGAAACTGAAGTTTCGTTTGATGTCGGAAAATGCGTAAAGTGGCGCGTTAACGAGTCGGTGTTTCAGCTAAGAAATGATTGCGCTACAATTGATCTCATGGCGAGATCCTTCATAAAAGACTGGAGCTCAGTAATACCAAACAAAACATACAAGGTACGAACCGAAACCGCTTATGGAAGCCCGCAAGTGGGAGAAAAAGCTCTCAGGATTACTAATTTCAACAAAACGGCGCCAAAAACTTTCGAGAATAAAATTCCCTCGAATTTTTTTATAATAAAGACGGAAACTGCAACTAGATTTCCGAATTAACTTACTTGTGACCATTTCGTTTTGATTTGTCTTCAAAAAGCAAACAATAACTATTTATGGTGATTAAATATTTTTGAAAAATTAATGAATATTCTTTACGATTTATAATACACTTAATGTGATAATTTTTAGAATGTATTCCAGTAGCAAGGAATAATAATCAATATTCTCTCCTTCAAAGTAAATCGGCAGTTCAAGAATGTTTAATTAAGTACGTGGAAAATACTTGACTCGATTTTACATCCATATTATTATCAGAGGCTATAATACCCTTCACAAATACAAAAAATTTCATGAATTTCATCGGCCAGTTTTTTACGGGAGCTATATGCTATAGTAATCCGATCTGAATAATTTCTTTGCGGAAAACTCAGAGCGTCATGCTGATCATTTATATACAAGTATATGTTTTAATACTTGTATATGTTTTATAGAGTCCTCGAAGTTTTTTACTTATCTTGTAGGAACTATTTACGTAAAGTTTCATTCTGATGTCTTCATTGGTAGTTGATTTATATACTATAAAGTGAGAGAATTCGATTGAAGTTTAAATTATATGGAAACATAAGAATATCAGGGTAGTATTAGGAACAAAATTTGGTTGATATTAGAAGAATAGTCTTTGATATCTTTTTAAAAGGGGGCGATGCCGCGCATTACAGTTTCGCATTTGAATTTGTGGCTTGAATATAGCAATACTTGGGTGCCAAGTTTTATCAACATATCTCATATTTACTCAAGTTACCGCTTACATCGACAGATGAGAGACCGTCCCCGGGAATTCAACGCATCTCGTTATCCTTACCCTTATGTATATACTTTATGTATAACTCCATATCAAACTCGATTAGGTATACATTGCAATTGACGTTTGTTTATGTTAGGCATGTACTAAGGCCTCTACTTCTCAATTAAAGCGATTACTTAGAAATTGTTGCAATTGTAATCCAATTTAATGCATTAAAGGAACCACGACCCAGTTCATTGTAGTAAAACGGCGGCTTCCAATTCGAATTAATATATGGAATATTGTTTTTCAGTACTCGTTCACTACTGGTTATCGTGGTTTGCTTAAGTAATGTCTTGCCTATGTAGTGCGCTCTGTTTGTCGTCATGGTCGTGCGGGGCGTATACGCAATGCGCGCTAATTTATTATAAACGCAGCGCGGAATTGGAGATCTCAAAACAAGCAAACGCTCAGATAATTGCGCGTTAATAGCCACCTTCAGCATCAATTAAAACCAATACATTCACGGCTCCAGGCCTAGGCCGCTCATAGTGAATGGTGAGTGCGAAAATTAGATTATAAATCTGCTGCGTGCACAATAATTTCGGTAATTGCCAAATACAAATATGTGGACCCAAGCGCGTATGTACTTTTATGCGAGTTTGAGTACAATTTGAGCTATTATCTTTAATTCAGTTAAATAAAAAAAATGGTGAGTATTTGGATAAAATGTTCAAATTTCCTGCCATAATTAAGTTGAGTTGTGTGAATGAAACTGAAAAAAGAACAAAACAAAAATTCATTTGAAGGTTCGCCGTTTTCCGGTGTGGCTAAGCGGTTACTACTTGCTGTCGTTATTGAGAAAAACGTTCAAATGCAAGCGAGAAGCGAGTGCTGAGAGATTTGCGCCTGCGTGACATGGCACTCACTGGTCGCTGCTGGCAGCCGCGCTGTGCAATTGTAATGCCAACACAACAAGTTTTTTCCTCAAGTTTCGCTTTTCTACGCTTTGATTTTATAATTAACTCGGATTGCTGATATAAAGCGAACGCTTTGGCTTAGACTATAAACGCTTTGCTATTATTATTATTATTTCTGTGCCAATGTGCACGTACCGGCTATGATTCATTTTACGCTAAATTTCTGCTGAATGAATACACTTACATGCATAATTACATAATGGGAAGCTTGGCCTGTGCTTGGCACTTGCAAAGGCGACACAGGTGTGGCCTCATTGTGATTAATCAGAATTAATTGTGGCGTTCGAATTGGATTTGTAACATTCGCCGCCAGCTCCCTCTGTGGGAAAAAATTAACTGGATGGGTAACTGTGTGGGGAGGGTAACGCGCAACAGCGTGATAACTATATTTTTTGCTTGTTTTTTAAATAAATGCTAATTGCTTAAGACACAGCGGTAAGCAAATGAGCTGCCCGCATCGTTAGTTTGTTTGAACAGGGGGAAGCTAACATATATCACACCTGTTGTGGCCGGCATTAACACTATAGGTTATTACCAACAGCGGCCTTGACTTGTAAACTATAAGTGAAATACGAAGTTTATTATGATTTTTATTAGAAAATGAGTACGAGTGTACTGGGTATATAGCATATTTAGAAGAGAAAGAAAGATGTTTGTACTTGTATGAGAAAAAGTGAATAAGAGATAAACACTACGTAAAAAGTGGAGAAGAGAAAGAGAGTATAAACGTTACAGATGACTTTTTCTTCATGGGTGG